GAGAGAGAGAGAGAGAGAGAGAGAGAGAGAGAGAGAGAGAGAGAGAGTCACAGGGGCCCCTAGTCTTCCTCTTTTTTCCATTCTAGTACCCGAGGAGGGTATATACTCGTGCTACATCTTCTTATCGAGGGATCCCCTCTCTCTGTCGTTCGGCAGCGTTGCTCGGCATGGGTCCGTCCTTGTCCGTTCCCCGGCCGCGTGGAGCGTGCTGGGCACAAGTCCAACGTTCTCCCCGATTGCAATCCCACTAGTTACACGTTACTGAATCACGGTACGTGTGTCTATGTTACCAAGCCACCGCAAAACGATACCGTGCCGGTTCGCTTCCTGTCGCTTCCTCTCGCCAATTGAACAATCATTTTATGCCCATATTAACCGTCGCGTGAGAAACTACCAGCGCGGACAGACGAACCGTTGGCCAAACGATCGCGAGATAGACGGGATCCTGGAAACCTTTGAAAAACATTAGGATCTTGGTTCGTTGGTTTTCCTTGAAGCGATCCACGGCAGCGCGGCAGCTCGATGCTCGGTTTATTCAGCGACACGATCATCGATAGACGAGATCGGACAGTTTCGAGATTGAAGAGTTCCGAGAGCGAACATTGACGGTTGGAAACTTACAAAATTGAGAATTTTTTAAATCTCGGACTGTCAAGATTGAGAAATTACAAAATTGAAGACTATCAAGATTGAGAATTTTCAAAATTGAAGACTATCAAAATTGAGAATTTTCAAAATGTGGGAACTATCAAAATTGAAGATTTTCAAAGTTGGTGACAATGACAATTGGATCTTTCAAAATTAGAGATTCTCAAAATTGGAGACTATCAAGATTGAGGATTTTCAAAATTTGAAGACTGTCAAGATTAAGGATTTTCAAAATTTGAAGACTATCAAGATTAAGGATTTTCAAAATTGGAGACTATCAAGATTGAGGATTTTCAAAATTTGAGACTATCAAAATTAAAGACTATCAAGATTGAGGATTTACAAAATTGGGGACTATCAAAATT